ACCATGACAATGGAGGCAGTGATCAAAACAGCGATGACAGAGTGATTAGAACCTTAAAAACACCACCATGGTGAGGATCAGATATAAAAATCTCATTACTGTCTACTAGATCAAGAAATGTGTACTTTATTTTGTGCTGATTAAATGGTCCAGGGGCATTTTTTCATTTGGGATTTTTTTTCCTAAAAATGCTTTTAGGGAGTCTAGGGACAGCTAGATTCACAGGAGGTGCTGCTGTGAGGTGGCAGGTCCAGACCTGGAAAAAGAGAGCTCTGGTGTTTCACAAACTGGTGTTTCATTTCAGCTGCAGGAAACTGAGACACCTCTTGGATCTCATTACAGGCATCACTTCCCTCCCAGGAGCAGTCACCAGTCACTGGACCACAGATTTATTTTGCACTGAGAATATTTTAATATTCTGTACAACATTGAACAGCAAAGACAAAGACTGCATCTGAACTTGGACTCTGATGCACGACACAATGCATCTGATGAGCCTGGTTATTCCTGATTTGGTGGCTGTGCCCCCTGCTTCATCCTACCTAAGGGCTTTTTCCCCTTTTCTTTGCTTCTTTGCTTCTCCACCCCCTTGCACATAACAGAGTATTAACTCTCCTCTGCCATCTATCATCACTCTCTCTCTATTCCTTCACAGACTTTTTCTCACCCCTTGCTTGCCTTCATTCACCCCTTCATTCACCTGAACCTTTGCTGCAAGGAAAACATATGCCAGGAGTCTGCTTTGGCAAATTCCTCCAGTTTTGCATAGAAACCAAGAGGAAAGTGTGAGTGTGTTTGAAGGGGGAGGAGATGTTGAGACTCTGGAAGTCTTGAGACAGTTTGATTCAGAGGTGTGACCAGGACACTCACATCAGTGTAAAATGTAGGAAGTTTCCCTGGCTATGGTAGAACAGATCTGGTTGGAGAGATCCTGGCCCCAAAAGGCTCTGCAGTCCAGTGACTGAAATGGCTTCCTCAGAGGATGGAAGGCCCATCTCAAACAAAGCAAAGCTCCATATCATGTACTACTACCATTGCCACTCAATTAGGCAGCAGCTCTCATTTCCTATGACAGAAATTTCCTATGCTGAAATGAAAAGATGTCAGTTTGAAAACACTGACGTAAATTTTTTCACTTTGAGTTTTTTTTCCCATTCATTGGTCAACATTACACAAACCTGCAGTTTGGGGGTTGAATAACTGACAGACAAAATGTTTTGACCCTTGAAGGCTGTGACATTAGGCAAAGAGCCAGGTCACATCTCGTGTGCAAGAGAGAACTGTTAGGTACATTTTCTTTCACCCCTCCATGGGCCTAGAACATCTATAATGAATCTAACTAGAAGTAATTGGCCAAGATATCTGCTTATTCCTTAAGAACTGATAGGAATGTCTCCTTTCTGGAAAGCTCCACAGGTGATTTCATGTTAGCACTAAAATGAACAATCAGTCATAACTGAGGACTGGAATTTCTTCAGATGTGTAATGGCATCATAGCACACAGGTCAACAGCATTGAGCAAAAAAGAGTTTTGCCACCTGGACAATGAGCACCAAAGTCATGTATTCTGCCTGCCATGTGCTCTGTCTTTCCTATCACTCTTGGCATCACAACTCAGTTCTGAGAGTGGATGAATGTTCCACAAATTGGAGATAATCAGATTGGTTCTGAGTCAGGGGTAGGTCTCCTCATTCTTTTCACTGGTTGCTTGCCTGCCATTCATCCCTCAAAAAGCTCACCTTGCTATGGGACAATTCATGTCATGGTTATCTCACCTGCCTAGAATGGACCAAACACCTGAGCCCTGGAGATTTGCTCAAGACCTCCTGATGCTGGATGACAGAGAAGCAGAAGTTTTCAGAAAACTCTTCTCCTTTCCTTCACCTTTGCCATGATACAGGATAGATTCCCCAGACCCTTTTTCCTCCCTCTCTGTTCTAATTGTCTTTCTTCCATAGATCAGGGACTCCTTCTCTCAGTCCCCCTTGCTCCTGCCACCTTCTCTTACTTCCAGGCAGATTTATCCTTTTTCCATCTTCTCACTCCCAAATCACAGGACTTCTTTTTGGAGGTTGCCCACTGTCACACTCCCATATCTTGCAGACCTCCCACCACCACCTGTGCAAGCTGCTGATCTCTTTGTGTCCCAGTGCATCTAAAGCTGAGCTCCAACCAGAGCTGCACAGCTCAGCTCAAGCTGAGATAAGGAATCCCTTGGGAAGGTGGAATGACAGCTTGCATCTCTCTTGTTTTCATGTCACAGCTGCTGACATTGTGCCATGTCCTCCCACTGTTTGGCCTTCCTCTGCTTATGGAATGACAGGCTAGGTCTATCAGGGAGACCCCAGAAGCAGGTCCTGTATTTAGCCTGCAATTCTGCATTCCTCCAGTCCCTCCTCAGCTGCAGAAGAGAATCCAGTGTTTGCTTCTCTGGAATAGCATTGCTGTTAATGAATGATAACATTCAGCCTTAGTGCAGCTCCCCAAAACCGTTTTTCTCTTTTTATTATGCAAAGGGTTGGTATGGCCTGAGGCTGAGTAGCCCTCAGAGCCTTGTGCAAATCAGATCCTCATCTGCATCTGCTTCCTCTGGGCTCCAGGAACCAGAGGCACATTCAGGTCAACCTCAAGGCTGTTGCAGATTGACTGTAGAGGAAGACCTCTGCACTGGAAAGATATTGAGGAGCTTTCTAACATTACTAAAAAAACCCCAAAAAAAACCCAAAAAACAAACCAACCAAAAAAACCCAAAAACAAACCAAAAGTCTAAAATGCCACATGCCACCAGACTAGTCTAAAATATCTTACACAAAAGTCATGTCCCTCTCTCCCAGGAAAACACAGTTGAATTGCAGTATTTTTACCAACAACGACAGGATCCCAAATACTCATAGACTGCTTGAAACAGCTCCAGGGAAGACTCTCAAAGTGAACTCCAGAGCCTGCTGAGCTCAGTGAGAAGCTAAATGTAGACTCCACCCAAAGGAAACTCACCCATAAATATTCACACTCTTTCTCATAATCATTCTGAAAGACACGACCAGACTTTAGAGGGATGCTTTCTTAGCACTTAATTGCTTTCTGAGGAAATTTTAGCATGGCCAAATGAACATCATCAAATTGATTACCTTGTAGAAATAGTATATTTAATTATTAAATAATTTTCTTTTCATTATACTATGTTATGATATATCACAGTTTATTGTACTGTAGCATTAATTAATAATATACTCATTATAATACTCCAGGACTGTGGAATTTAATGTTTTTTTGCAAAAAGTACATGCTGGGTCTTTTCATTCTGAAAGTTTCTTTCCCAAGTTTTAGAGAGGAAAGCTTCTTTAAAAATTGTAGTGAATTAAAAGTTGCAGAATATTAATTATTTGTAGCCTTAAGGATCAAAAAGTTGAAAATAAAAAGCTCTTTTTCTAGCCTGCTATATTTGAACTAAAAGAAGATTGTTGAAAAAAATAACAACCAAAGAAGCAAATCTAATCTCATTTTTTGGAGGAGTTTTTAGGGGGTTTGATTTAATATATTTTTTACTCTTTGAAGCTATAAGACTGAAACTCCTTCCTGTTTACCTGTGGGCTCATGGTGAGAATACTGACAGTTGGTTTCAATTTTTTATATGTGGAAGTGAGAGGAGTTAAAGCAAGAACTTGAGTCTCCATCCTGCAACTGTCTTCAAATTAAAATGCCCTGGTGTTTCTGCATACGAAGCTACAGCATCAATAGCCATAGCTTGAAGAGTCACACAAGCGTTTTTTCCTCCATTCTGAGACAACACTAAGCACCTGCTCAGATCTAGGACCTTGAGTATCCTCATTCTTTTTGTGGAGTACTGTAAAAAGATAAACTTCAAGTAACTTCAAGTGCAGACCAGCCTCATCAGTATCTTGTGGGAGCATGCCTCTGGAGTCTTTGTTACTGGAAATAATCATTAAAACTTAACTTGCAGAAAATAAGGATTTTTTGTAGTTTTTATAATATCTTGATTGAATTAAAAAATCATGCCAGCATATATACATATATATCTATACAACAGAAGAAACTCTTATTTGGATGTTAAAATTCCCAGATAGAGAGCCTTGCAAAGGTCTTTTTTTTTCCACTGCCTATATTCAAGAGTGCCTTGAATGACAAACTCTGGTGTAGACATCTGCAGTGCAAATGCCCAGAGCTAGGCAAGACAACCCCATCCCTGTCTCAGAAAACCCCAACACAGGGGTCTCTGTGCAGGCTCAGAAGCCCAGGTGCCAGCTTGGGTTCTGTATGGAGGTGTCCACTCCCCAGAAGCAGCTTGTGCTCTTGTGGGCAGCTGGCCTTTAATAGCTTTCAGGCTAGTGGGTGTTTATAAGCTCAGTCTCAGAAATGCCTTTTAGTCAAACGTATACATTTAGGCAAGGAAAATAGGCGTGTTTTTAGGCACAGAGAGGTTTTACATGCAGAGGACTAACTCCTGATACTCTGGGATACCTGACTTTCAGCTGGAGACCCTCTGTGTATAAAAGTATCATACACCATATGTATATGAAATGCTTGTCCAGGCTGTAATGGATGCCACTCCTCCAAACAACCTCGGTTTTTACCTTGCTCTCTTGGGCACCACAACACTGAATTCATGATGAGAATGTTGCTCCACTGCTCTAAACCTCTTCTGTAAATGAGAGTTGGGAGGTTAAGCCATTACTCTAGGTCATTTCTGCATTTCATTACATAAGTGTCACTCAACAGTAAATTGTACTTGGTCACAGTTATGCAGAAGTTCTTCTCTTTCATAGAGGTGATCAGAGTCTTCTCCTCTGTCCACCTGCATTTTCTCAGTGTGAAACAGAAATCGTGTGTAGGGCAGAGCATTCACTACCAAACTGCAGTGGAACTGTACTTGAAAGACTTTGAAGTAAGGAAGGAGTTAATAGTTTCAAAATAGTCATTTCCTGAGCCCTCTGGTTGGATGAGTAAAAACTTTCAACTATTTCTATTTCTTCTGTGTCATTTAAGAGGCTTTCAAGGTGCACTGTACTTCTCAGACCAGGTAAGGAGTACAGCTTTTCACTTCTTGATTTTTTATTCATAATAGTTTTTCAGAGGAGCCAGACTCAGTCAAGACTGATTTTTCTCCCTCCTATTATTTACATCTGAAGTGAGAACGAAGTTCATTGCAATCCAAGAAGTACGTGTGTCTCTTTGTGCCAGATGATTGTGAGCTGTAGAAATAAATGAAGAACTGTATGGCTTAATAGTAGAGCAAAGATAGTTAAGAAATTATGTTGCACATATTTAGAAGTCAGAATTATTACAGCAAATACTGTAGTAAAAGAGAAAGAAAACGCATCACCAGTTTTAAGGAGTTCACTCTGCAGGAACCACTAAGAAAATAAGTTCTCAGGTGCAGTTTGCTTTAGTGAGGACAGTAGTAAAAATCATAGCATGTCTTTAACTCTGATTTTAAAAAGAGGAAGAATGAGCTTCTACATATTGGAGACAGAAAAGAAATCAAACCCAGATAATTTTGGACCAGTTTTAGTTGTAAATCTGAACCTGATATCTATCTTTAGCTATTGCAGAGTCATGTACTGTACTCATCCTGAGACGGCTCCAGCAGTTTGCAGCAGCCTGACACACATACAGAAGTGACTGTGGAACAATATCATAAAATGATACAATTTCATCAGGGTCTTTTGATGCATAAAAGCTGACCTCAGAAGAAAGTCCCACAACACAGTGCACTTTAGCACATGGCATTTGTTGCTTCTTAATAGATAAGGAGAGGGATTATTTGTGTGAAAACCATTTTGTTTTGTTTAATAGTACAGAAACGAGCATAAAATAGTCATCTGTGGGGAAGTTATTGTAATAATGTGCTGTCATTGTGTCACCATACAGAAAGGGAAATGGTACGTGCCATGCTGATCCCTGAGTGAAATCATACAGTGGTATGGCATTTATGGGTTTTTTTAAAGATTCAGGGGGTTTTTTACATTTGCAGGTTTTTAATTCTTTGCTTGTTATCAGTTTTAATGTTTGGATATTAACTCCTTGAATGTTTGGTTTAAACGCTTTCTGGATTTTATGCATAGTAGTCAGGAGAATCTAGTAGGACTTTTAACAGCATTGGTTTGATTCAGACACAAAATTTCCATCCCTGTTTAGACTTAATTCCTAAATAATTTCCACTTTACTTGTGAAACTGCTGCTAGAGTAGTGATTGGACCTCTGTAATGAATTTCACGCTCAACAGACCCAATGATCCACATGAAGTTTTGTCACTGCATCTACAGATGGGGACTTAATATGAATCTCAGCTGGTGCCAGACTTGTGCTCTGGTTTTTGCAGCTGCCCCGTGCAGGCAATCTGATCAAGAGCCCCAATCTTGCCTTGCAAACAGCTGTGTCAGTTTAGAAACAACCAGAGAGCATGTCACCCTTCTGCTAGGGAAGCGGCTATGGCAGGGGTAGAAGCATTTGCATTAGCCTTAGTCTTAGTTTGAACATCAGTGCTAAGCAATTTGCTGTTCCTTACAGGTCTATATGGCCTTAGTTGGTAAATTCTTGCAGCCTTTTCCATAGTTTGCTGAAGGAAAGGTGGCTGAGGTGTGCCTACACTTCTGCAGTCACATTTCCCAGTTACTGAATAGGCATGGCTCAAGGGAAAGTGCTCAGCAACTTTGTGTGGGAAGAGCAAAGAGAACTCAGGCATCCCCTGTCACCAACCAGCATCTTACTCACTGCTTGTGTATTCACCTTCTGTCTTACAGTGTGGGTTTGGGTTCAACTCAGATGCATCTGCCCATGCAGATAATTAGGCTTTCACTGATGACTGTTAGTGCAGAAAAGGCCAGCTCAGGTGATATGAAATGTTTGCTCTCGGTGCCCTCTTTCAGCATCAGTATCTTTTTTTGATGTGGGAAAAGGGTGCACTCCTCTGTCTGAGGGTGCAGTATGTTATGTGCAGTGGTTACGTGTAACAGCACTGAAAACAAACAAATAGCAGAATGGTGATTCATTTTATGGCAACTTTGGTCTGCCACAGTAACTGCTGCATTCTGGTCAAGCGGCAAGAAGGGAGAAACCCAGACACAACTCAGCCACAACAAGTTGTTTTGTGGTAGACTCCCCTGTCCTGCTCAAAAATGAAGGCACACCAAGACTGCGTCGCCATGCGTCTAAAGTGCGTGCTGGTGTTGTACACTTGTATTGCCACTGACAAACTTCACATTTCCACAGTTTCCAGATAAAAAGTCATTTTGAAACAGAAGTTCAGGGGGGTTCACTGCTGACAACTAATGTTTGCAAAGCTTTCAGTTGGACAGAAGTTTCCTTATCAGGCATATTTATTGACACTGGTTCCATGCGCTTCACAGCATGAAAAAGGAGCTCGAAAATGAGCTCTCCTCTGAAAAGTGACATTACAGAAATGCATTACAGTTTGGACCTTGACTACTGCCTCCAGAATTCCTGGATGAAATGAGCTCTATTTATAATTAAATGTCTGTGGGATTGTTGCTTTGGCTTGATTATTCTTACTGACAGCTCTCAAATGGGAAAGTCAAGCTCCTCTTGGGCTTACTATTTATACACAGGAAATCTGAGAGGAACTCAGCCTGAGAGTTAAGGTTGTTACTTAAAATAGGCTTTAAATGGGTAATATAATCATATAATCCAATTTTTGTCAAAATTTAGTTGCTAATCAATCAGAAATATCCCACAGGATTAATTTTCTGCATCTTTGAACCAGGTAATGTCAGTTTGATCCAGTCTCTTTTCCTATATTTTTGATTGGAAGCCTTCTGTCCTTACCAAATTTTCCATTGGTAATCTTATTTTTCAGTGTTGATGAATATTTAACTAAAGCTAAATATCAGAGAAAGAGAGAGAAAAATCTGTGTATACTTCATGCAACAGCTCAATAATTAAATACTGGGTTTTAGCTGTCATTGATATCCTAACAGAGAGATTCTCCCTTTTTGCACACAGACTGATGAGGGTCCAAGAGTTGTTCAGGCTGGGGCCAAGGATCTGTAAGTTTGGTCAACAAGAGCTGCACATTTTTGTCATATTTTCACACTACTGCATGAAAAATTTAGGCTCAGCAGCTGGTGAATTGAAAATCCTTGCTTGCCCACCTGCTGACTAAATCTTGAAATAAGAACAGAAATTACACCTTGCTATGGTCATGAAGAAGCAGCTAGGCTACTTACTGTGAGATACCCTGCACCTGATTCACATCTGCACAAATGAGAAGGGAAAATAGCAAACCAACAAGTATGTGCTCTTTTATCTTCTCTTCATCTTCAGATGTCTGTATTCTGAAGCATTAGTAGTCCTGCACAGGTATGTTTTACAGCTAGTGAACCATATTTTTAAGGCTGTGAAAGAAAATAGAAAATATTATCAGTGCTTGTCACTGTCACTGTTTGTAATTATCTTTAGATATGTCCTCTTCTTCTTTTTTTTTTCTTTTTTTTTTTTCCTTATAAGATTTCTTGTTTGTTCCTTTCTGCAGATCTTACTCATAGAGGAAATCTGATCTGCTGCAGCGCGGAAACATCAGCAGTGAAATGGCGAGACAAATTCCTTAGGGAGCTGCTTGTAAGTCTGGTCAACATTTAAGATGAAAAGTTTTGCATTTTCTTTGGCAGGATGTTACATGCAGAGTTTAGCTGTATGAGGCAATTGCTGAGGCAATAAGGGAATATTCAGGAACACAAGCTTTGAGTAGGTGAGTAAGCACAAAGGCAGAAATAATCTTGTTAGGATTTTTTCTTTCTTCCCTGCCCTGCACCCCCCCACCCCCAGCCCCCCAACTTCTAAAAACATGATTTTCTAAAAACATGATTGGTCTTTGAGACTCACTAAATCATGAACAATTGAAATCCTGTTCTCCAGAATCCTGGATACACTGAATAGACCCCACTTTAGGGCTACAATTGTTCAGCAGTCGAAAGCTGTGAGAAAAAGCCTTTTGTACTTTTGTTGCTTCACCTTGAGACAGTCAAGCAATGCAGGGATCAAAGGGAAATCCCCCTGGAACACAGGCAGTGGTGAGAGATAGGGTAGGAAACTGTGGATAAGTCAGCAGTGAAATGGTGAGGATGAGACCAAAAAAAGGAAAACTGGTAGTACAAACTTGGGGTAGATGAGGACAGAGGGTGGGATCTGGGGAGCAGTTAACAGGAGGAAGAGAGACTTTGGGTTACATGATGATGATGATGAAAGTGGATTTGTAGAGGACAGCAAGGTGTGATTCTTTCAGGTCTTTCCCCCAAATACTCTGAGGAAACCCCTGAAATATCCAGGTCTCAGAAACATAGAAGTAAATCTTGGAAGCAGCACAGGTGTGTCTGCACCCTCTAGTGGGCTACAGAAAATTATTTTACCCAGCAGAAAATTACATTACACAGAATATGCTTTTACCCAGCAGTAACTTTCCACTTCATTTGCTAGGACCAGTCATATCCTGATATTTAGCATATTTGACACACATGTAATAACTATTTTCAGCCTCTATAACATGATGGCTGCATCCAAACTTCTTTTTCTGGGATGGTCTTCTGTCTGTCATAGCCCCTGAACTATAAAAGAAGTTGATTGTGGCTCAGAGTTGTTTGAGGCAGCATTAGCTGGTGTGAGACAAAACCATGCCAGAACTGTAACAGCCCAGCAGTTGAATTTTGTGATCTGAGCACTGTTTTGACAGTGTTAAATTTACTAATATTGACATACTTTACATGTAGTAAAATCTGCCTTGTGCAGGTGGTATCCTCCTCAGAGTCCTAAGGGTAAATATTACAAACAATAATTCAGCACAAAAAAAATCAATGAACAACCTGTTTAGTGAGAGACCATTTCCTGTCTCATTGCTCAGCTCTCATCTACTTGCTGCTGGAGGACATATTCTGACTGAGATTTAGAACTACAGGAAAAAGCAAAGCAGCTTTGTGATTTCAGTGACTGAGTAATGTTCTGGGAAATATGATTCTGCCACTAATTCTACCTGGGAGTAGATGCTGATAAAAGCTTTTGTGATGGTCACAAAAAGGTCACCTTTTTAAGAAAAGGATACATGTGAAATGCCTGAAATGGAGCTAGGAGGGAACTTCAGAGCTTCAGCTCTGAACACGGAAAATTCTGATGCAGCCTCTGACTACTGGGGGATTATACCATAGTAGTTGCTTCTTATAACACAAGATAGCAGTATTTGAGATACTTAGAGACAAAAATAGAGAAGATATCCATTAGCAATTATAAGAACAAATGGATTTTGGCAGAACTGAGAAAGCTGGTCTGGTGCCACCAAGGAGAATGCTTAAAGAATGTCAGTGAAACTGTTTCTTCTTTACATATACAGGTACTTGCTTTTAAAAAGGTCAAAGAATAGGAAATAGTATAACTCCTCCTCTAGAGCATGCTCCTAGGAGAAAGAGTGTGCACATTCAACTCTGTTCTTTGGAAAGTATTTAAAGTCTTATCCACCTCCCTCCTAGGTAGTATGCTAAACCTATGGACTCGGCTGAATTGCACCCAGCCAGCAGAAGCTGGAACAGCAAGCAAAAGAGGAAAAAAGAGGTCAGAAGCCTGAAATACCATTCAGCTGGAAGGCTAAAGACCTTATCTCTAGTCTTGTCTTCAGAGACAGTTTCACAGTAATCACTGGATAACTCCAAAGGCCAAACTAAAGCTAGATTCCAAGCCATGTGCACTTACTTGATGGCTGCCTTTAGAATCTCTAAATCTCTAATTTGCCCTCCTTCATGGTGTTTTCATCTTTTCCTGAGCTGTTGTATTGATAATTTTTTAGTGTGCGTCTCTGATGTGAAAGATGGGCAGTAACCAGAAGCTTTGTGGCTAAAGCAGTCTCCAGCTCAGATAATCTAACTCCCATGGTCAGACTTGAAAGGCAGCTTAAGGCATCTATTTCCTGAAATTAACCACTGTGTTATTGTTCAGACAGGGCTGGCCAGACAGCTGCAGAAAGGAAGTGTTTTCCTTCTATCAACCATCTTAAAAAATTGTAGTAAATTATATTTGGGCCCCAGAAAGAAAAGGCAACAGGGAATTTTAACAGAAGGAACTTTGGCAAAGAGGTTCAAGGTCTCCCTGTATTTTCCCTGTGAGAGTATGTTCTGTGAGAATTACTATTTTTACCCCCAGATTTTCATGTTTTTAAGGCTCATTCTCTGTCTGCACTGGATGATCTATGTGTGTGGCATGTGAAGTGTGCTGACTTAACACTGTTCCTTATAATTTTTCTGACTATTTCAGATCCCATTCTGAGACACCAAAGCCTTCACTGGTGCCTTCATCCTTCCACCCATGTGATGCTTATCTTACAGAGCTTGAAATTCTGTTTCAAATCTGGTTTCAAGGGGTTAAGCTTTCAGAAACAGGAACCAACTCTGAGTTCCTAATTTTCAAATGCTTATTAAAAGATATCTGGATCTGACTTGCAGAGATTATTGAGTACTCACAAATCCAGGTATGGTCAATAGAAATGTGGTTTTGAAACAATAACATTTTATTTAATGCCAAATGCTCTTAGAAATCAGGTCCTAGGTAACTCAGGCCCTTCATTCCTCACATTTCTCTTTGTAATATGGGGTTAAATAATATTTATATTAGAGGAAGGCTGCAAATAAGAAAATTGTAGATGTTTCTGAAGCACTTTGATGCTGCAACACTTGATGCCATAAAAATGCCCAAAAATAAATTGTTTATTTAGTATTTAGGACAAGAGTTTGAACAGTGCATTTTACATAGGACATAGCATCATTTATTAAACAATCAGGAGAAAAAAGTTGAAATTTTTCTGATAGGGCCTTTGGAAAATTGCGGGGAAGGCATTGGTTCCAACAGAAATCAAGTGGAAAAAGGCAAGCTTAAACATGTCCATTTTCAAGCCTGTGATCTGTAGAGTTTCTTGGCAAGTAATTGAGTTCAGTTAGAATAGAGATAGAGAATCTTGACTGATTTCCTGTCTTCAGCCTGTTGACTTACACCATTTCACTAGGAGGATCATTCAGCTAAAAAGCAACCAGGGGAACCTGCTGATGAAATTCTGGCTCTCAAGATTTTCAGCTGTTTGTTTATTTATTCAGGCTGCTAGAACAGTAACCTTCCTGAGATGAATGGGCATTGTGAGCATTTCAACATGGAAGGAAAAGACATGACATTTTCATAAGGGACACCTTCTCTTCCCCGCAGTCACATGTCTCTGCAAAGCTGCTGATCTCAGTTACTCAGTGTCTAAATCCTCAGTGCACAGATCAGAGCTGCTGGGGTCTTTACAAATACACAGTTAGTCAAAAAGTTTGCAACCTATCCATGATTGCAGCCAACAGAAGCTGGCTGCTAGCACGTGAATGTGAGACTGAGTTAAACAGAAGCAAGGTCAAGACCTTAAGCTGGACTAAACACTGCCTTGCACATTGCATACATCTCCTTATCAGCCCGATTTGTGACCTAAGTCTGTATATCCCTGCCACAGAAAATCACTGGACCAGTCTTTCACATGAAGATGCGCCTTTTTGGACACCCAGTTTGCCCATGGGGCATAAATATGTCTTTAACACCTCTAAGAGGATGAAGAATGAAGTTTCCTGTTACATGTCTGGCTTTTGCAAGTTTAGCAATTCTCAGCAGTGCAGACACATAATCTTAACATCCAGTGTTAGTGGATAAAATAGCCTCACAAACTCATCACTGAGGTTTTTCATGGTGAAATGCATGTTAAATGTTTGACATTTAAAACCATATATACTTGTGAAAAATTTTTTGAGCTTTTTAAATGAAATGTTTTCTACCAACAGCTCTTCTCTGAGAAACAGGACACGGCACAGTTTTACATGTTATAGTAAGTTGATAGGTTTGCTCAACTCACATGTCTGTTCTGCTAATGTTTGTGGGTTGAGTACATAATTGCCCCCACATGACAGGGGCAGAGATCATAGCCAATATGGATATCATTAACAAATATGATTGGTTTACCCTGGGCTTGGAGATTTTTACAGTGAGTTGGGTGGATTCTCAGCACTTCACAGCTTTTGTTGCTGCAGTACTGCAAAAACCAACTGCAAACTCTCCCAGCAGTGCCTGGGAATCCCTTTGTTAAATGTGGAGCACCAGCATGTGGAAAGACTTTTGCTGTGTCAGTTAGCAGGGGAGAGCAGAGAGAGAAAGGAATCAATCATATTACAGAAAAATCTGTCCTTTGGTTGTGCCTGTTTTTCTGACTGCTTCAACTTGTCTTTGGGACTACTGTAGTCATGAGTGTAGAAGGAAAAAGAGGTGGTCAGAAACAGAATTATTTAGGTTGGAGAAGAGTCTCAAAGTCACTGAGTCCAACCCTTAACCCAGCACTGCCAAGTCTGCCACTAAACTATGTCCTGAAGTGTCACATCTACACATCTTTTAAACACCTCCAGGAATGGTGACTCCACCAATTCCCTGGGCAGCCTCTTCCAATTCCTGGCAACCCTTTCTGTGGAGGAATTTTCCTATTATTCAATCTAAATCTCCCTTGGGTTTACAGGCCAACCTGAGTCCATTTCCTTTTTTCCTATCAGTTGTTACCTGGGAGAAGAGACAAACCC